ACACCAAACATGTCTTATCTTTTGGGATAAATAAAAGGACAATATTTTTAATATTTATAGAAAAATAATCTTGTTCTAAGAACTTGTCTGCTATGGCCTTTCTGTGGCATGCAACAATTCTTGAAGATGAAACAAGTTCAATGCTCTGAAATTTGAAGTGCTTAACAGTGAAATAATAATAATAATAATAAAAAAAGAACCACAAGGCCATGCCGAGGGGGAGCAACAGAGGCTAAAACATGCAGGCACGCTCCAGATGTTTGAGCACTGGGCGTGGAGACTAAAGAGTCGGCTATTTTCAGCCACAGAGTGCAGAAAAGGAAATGAAAAGGAGCAGAGTTCAGCGTGCACGGGTTTTGGGGCAGCCAGAGAGGGTAATCAAACACCGACGTCCAATGGCAATCACGTCGCCTCGACACAATAGTGGCTCGCCTGCCCGCTAGCTCCGTCTTATCACAACACTCTCTCGCGGTGAGAGAGGCGCGAGATGAATGAGCGGGAAGTGGAGGACAGTGAGGAACGGGAGGAGATGGATGGGGAAATGGAGAGAAAGAGAAAAGCAGCAGAAATGGGAGCGCTTGGTACAAATTAAATCTGGGGGTTGGTATTGTTGTTTCAACGGAGCTTTGTGTTATAACACACTGGCTGTTTGGTGGCGTGTTTTGAGTATTGGACCACAGAATGATGTCAAATTAGTGGAACAGTACAAATAGTTCCTCTTTGGGAATTTTATGCAAATACTTTCAATTTACAACGTATCGGGAGACGATTAATCCAACATTTTGTAGAAAATCCGTCTTTATTTGTGCAAATCCTGAACTGAAACTCCTGTGTTCTGGCCGAGCATTCTTTTTTTTGTCATTACAACCACAAACCTGAAGTTTGTTGAAATATTCCTCTCTGTGGCACATTGCTTTATCTGAGAAAAACTTTTTTTTCTTAAACTGTAAATCTGCCAAGATCGTACTGTCTCTTTCTGTTTCTAGACTGTCACCTTGGTGTGAACCTGCGTGCCTCAGCTCGCCAGTCGTTTTGCAGCTGGTACACCTGAATTTCCCACTGAGGGACAATAAAGGCTATTTCTATTCTATCCAATGCTGCTCTTGATGCTCTACTTGCCCAGACTGTTGGTTTAAGTGGATGGTCATGGAGGTACCGCGACTCAGTTTTACTATGGGGACATGGTTGGATTAGTCTTAAACCATACTGGGTATTTTACATGTTTACTAATTTGGTGACTTTTAAAGGCAATTTGTTGCATTAGATTTTGTGCAGAGGTATCAGATTTAAGAAGGGTGGAGATAGACAGATATAAACAATATATTTTTCCTCTTCGTGCTTTGTATGAAGCTAAATCCTTAGTAATAGAATCAGCCACAGAGCGTCAGTTTTCATGTTGAAGGACTGATTTCCATTCCATCGCAGCGCACAAGTAAAATCAATTCACCTTGACGCTGCACCACGGAGTCAGTGAGCATCACCTTGACGGCTCGGACACTTCACGACTCAGTCGCTTCGCTGAGGGTGTTCTGGTGAGACATTCGTTTCAAACAAACGATGCAACTTTCTTTAATGAAGACTGCAAATCTGTCAGAGAGCTTCCTTCCTTCGCCACTCACAGACGGAAAATTACCAAACTGTTGATAGATGGTTAACAGGTGCAGGCTAATTATGCTAATCATGGCAACAGCCAAATAAACTGATTGCCATGTTCATTTAAATGACAGCAATGTTCCTTTGGTGGGTAATTAAAATAGGTTGGAAGACAGGAAACGAGGCGGCTGGGTTTGGAGGAGAGAGAGAGGAGGTGTTTAAATAAAAGCCTTCTCTGGGGCCTCAGTAATAAGCTATATTTCATTGGTTTAATGATGTCATAATGAATTTCTAATGATGGGGGATGGGTTAAGGTGAGAGAAGAGACGAGTGGTGAAACAGGCACGAAACTGTACATTCTACATCTGCAAAGAGTGCTAACAAGGGAGCTTGAGTTCATGCTAATGCAAAGTAATGAAAATAAAAATTAGTAGAGGACATTGAGCAGGTTACGTGCTCCATCTGGTTTAGTACTAGCCCAATGGGAAGGCAAAAGGGAGGGCTTGAAGGCGCAATTACTTTTTATCAGCACCACGCCTTGACAGGTTTGGTCTCCCTTTCCTGGTGACCTGGGAAAAGGCATCATTAGAGAAACTGGAGGCCAGGAGGGCTGACTTCTGCGTCGGTGTAAAGGAGTGAAAGGTGAATACAGAGCCGATTAATGTTTATAGAACGAGTAAAGAAAAAAGTCGCCTTATCAGCCACTTCTTTGGTTACTTTTACCCTCACGGCTGCTTTATTTTGCTACGTCTCAAGCACACTTTACTTTAACCAATGCATAAGACCAGTCTTTGTAGGACTATGCTAAACCACAAATCTGTTTATAGCATAAATATTGTGCAAGTGCTAATTTTTTTAATTGAAACCAGAACAGTGACAGAGAATTAATAGGGCGTGCTACACAGACTTTATAAAGTTTTGTTAAGAATGCCATGACGCTGTTAAAGGTTGTGGGAATCTCACATCTGCTCCATTTACAACAACACAGGGAGAAACACACAAGGAAGATTCTCAGAAGGATTGGATTAACTATCACTGTTGTCAATGACAATCTGATAAAAGCTTAATCGATAGCTGCCTAAAACGAAATATAAAATCTCAACGGACCTGTTATGATTAAATTTAAATTGACACAAGAAGAAAATTTTTCATTAGGTTTTCTGACTGTTTCTTCACCTATTGATGACTATGTACAGTGTATTCTTTATTTCTTGTTCATGTTTTTATCCACAGAGGGAAAAAAACATGCTGAAACCTGAGAATGTGCAAGAAAGAAAGACCTAACTTTATTATCTGTTTCTGAGAAATTCTGATCATTTAAATGTATGCTACATCACAGGGATCTGCTCTGTTCAATATATTATAATGTGATGTCTGCCCTTAATGGAAAATCAATGGTGAGACAAGCCCGCCACTGCTTAGACCATACTAAAGCAATTTCTAAATTGACATATGGAGGGCCTGCGTGATTGATTCTGACTGCTGTTGGATTTTAATACCATTCACTGCGAGCTCATTGACTGTCAGACGTTGTCTTGTGGTTTATCTACAAACTGCCAAGTGAGTCCTCGTCTCCTTTTTCTTCTCCCTCATCGTTTTTCTGCTCCTTATTCGTCTCAGTGCACGCTCCAGAGAGTTGATAAGTTTGGATTACAACAGATATGTTTGATAAATGAGCAGAAGCCTTTCCACAAATAACAGAAGCTAACAGTGTATTCATACTTTACCCTCCTTGTTTTAACAGAAACACATGCTCATTCAGAGGAAGCGGCGCATTATTAACGTTCCCAGCTGCATCAGCTGTCATCATGAATTTAATGACATCATGCCGTTGCTAACAGCTTACAAGCTCAGAGAGAGGCTCTCACCTCTTAAACCAGACTTCTGTGTGGAGCTACACACAACTTGGAAAGGGATTAGAAACACTCTGTCTTTAGCTGAAGCCCTTACATCAAGCAATCCATTCATTCATTCAAAAACATTAATGAATTTATTTGCAGCAGAGTATTGAGAAGCTATTTGACCATCAGAAGAGTTCATATCAGCCATCACTGATATGGCAGTTGCAACATGATCACACATTTAATTAAGTGCAAAAGTCAATTTTATTGTCCCATAAAAACTCCCAATAAAGTTGATAAGATGTAAAACAATCCTTTATTTGAATCTGTCCCTGGAATATTCTGGATCACTGTAGAAAGTCACGGTGCTCGTCTCATTTTCCTTACATGGTAATGTATAACTAGCGCAGTAATCACATTGTGTTTCAGAACAAAAATCTCTGAATGCTAATAGTTTAAGGAAGACAGAGCCCTACTTCTCCCCTGCTGAGAGGTAAATGTGCACATTTTCCAAGCAGCATGCAGGTCAATGATAATTAAGCACCCACCAACCATCAGGATTACTCAGTAATATGTTTGCATGAATGCAGCTGGGAACAAAACTGCAAAGCCAAGTGTAAACAAAACTCTTTCCATCTTTAATGTGACATATATCCTCTATAATTCAACTTTATGATGTAAAACAACTAATACTTTGGTAAAGCATATTTAATTACCTACATTGAGAAATGTTTCTTATTTTTAGATGTTTTTTCCCCACTTTCTCCGTCTTCTTTTCTTTCAGAAACCACCTTCTTGACTGAATAAAAACACATTTTCGTCTAAATCTGCCAGGGTTTTAAGCTCAATTGTAAGTCTGTCAATGGATTTTGTAGGATTAGGGTTAGGAGTTAGGGGTCAGGGTCGTTCTGATCTTTCTCCATCTTATGTTTTAATTTAAAAGACACAAATTAATAATGTAAGACAAAAAAAAGTAGAACAACTTAACTTTATTTGAGAAAAATTGTTTTCACTATAATCAATAGGAGGTGAAGTATAAACAAGATATTTTTAATGCATCTTTTGTTTGCTTTTTATTTGAAACTTCAGGATTACATAACTTAAAAAGCCTTGAAATGACTTTGCATAGTCTCATTTTTTCCCCTCATTTTTATGAGTATAGGTCTCAGCAACAGCCATCCAGTGACATGGAATAAGATTGCTGACCTTTAGGTGTTACATTAAATGCTCATCCAAGCTCTCAGCGCCACACCGGGGGTTAATGTAACAGACGGATTTACCTTTAAACTCATGCAAAGCACAAAGGGATGCTGATCTGCACTTTAGATGAACTCACAAATCCCTGCACCTTTCTATGCACACATATGTCCGACACATAAGTCCAAAATGCAACAAGAACCGTAAGCTTCTATTACTTATCGAAATAGATTTTTTTAACTGGAAATCTCATTGTCATAAATTGCTCTTAAGGTTACAAGCAGCCAGCTTGTATCACATGACTTTCTGGAAAACATCAACCAGGAAGAGTTTTTCTTTCCATCTTCTTTTTTTTTTTTTTAAACTTACCTTGCCGAAGTCTCTGACATCAAAAAGATCAAACGGGTCAAAAAGTTCACTGTTCCTCAAGCCGAACTTGTCGTGGCACACTTTTAGGAATGTCCGGATATTCTTCAGGCACAGGAACTACAGAAAGAAAAAAGAAAAAAATGACGTAAGTGTCGGCGTTAAAGCATCTCCATCAGATAATTAACGGTACAATGAAAAGATTAAATATTTCATGCCTGCGCTGCACCAGCATGATTCATCTTGAAGAATATTTAGCAACATGCTCTAAATATTATTGGCCAATCCAGCCAGGATTGGCCAAGAATGCCACAGGCTGTTGGGTTTAGTTTTTCAAATGAAGTGGCTTTGTAGTTGACCTGCTCCTCTCAGGGGCTTAGGAACTTTAAAACTGTACCTAATCCTCACAGTGACAGAGGATCATGTCGTCTGATGTCTTATCAACAGACAAAACGTCCTGAGATATATGTCCTTTAGATGGAATGAGACCTCTAACTAAAAGCTAAGGAACAACCTGTCAATCAACAGCAGAAACAACCTCCAGCTCCACTGAAGGGGAGTCTTATCAATCATTAAAACATCGTTAGGTATTAAGGAAGAGAAAAGAATAAAGCACACTGAGAGTAGAGTAAGTAAGAAAAATCTACCTTATTTTTGGCTTACTGGGAAATAATGAGACATTTCTACCTGTTTTCATATTAGGTTGCAAGAGACTGAAATCAAAGTTCTTATTGGTGTTTAAAACCAGAAAATGACAGAATAATCAATCACAGATCCAAGATAAACATTGGCCAAAGATGCATGTCAAAAATTATTCTAGGCAGTTTATTAAATACAAGTAGTTCTGTGTTTTTTAACTAATTAAATGAATGTTGACATATTTAAGATTATGAAGCTGCAATAATATTATTTATCTAAAAGTTTTTGACACATTTTTAGAGGGTGCCTCACATCAGTTTTCAGGTTTGCAGGACTAATTCTGCTGAGGCAATACAAACACCTGAAACTACACAGACAGAGGGAGAAAATGATAATGTTTGGCAAACTGATGAGCTGACCTGGTCAATTTAACAGACAGAATGAATTCAGTGTAGCACAAAATATTCCTTTTCATCGCTGGCAACAAAACCAAAGCACGTGTGAAGCATGTGTCGAGGCAGACAATCTTTGTAGGGGTTGCAGGAATTGACGCTTCTCTGGTCTAAATATCGATGCTCTCGCTGCTTAAAATATTCCATCAGTCAGCCTAACCGTGAAGGCAAGAGCACAGACCGATTACGGCGGCGTTGTAGCATAATTTATAATCAAACCTGCTCTCTGATCTTTCTGTATGTGAAGAATGCATTACCTAGCATGTAAATTCACACACTGCCCTGATTTGCTCTTTCAGTTCTGTGTGTGGTGTGCGATATGAGCTGAAGAGCAGGGAGCAGACGGCCACTCACACAAGATTCGAGGCAAAGAGTCTATATGGAGCGAAATGCCTGATTGCCTCGTATCTGCTGAAGGCCTTGACCACATATTTCTTTGTAATGGCTGTTGCGTAAGACCAGCCGCCCTCCAACATCAGCCCATCTGAAGCAGGGCTGATGTTAGACAGCAATCAGGGCAGCAACGATGGCACCAGAGGATGGAGGTACAGTTTTAGACTGCAAATCTTTCCCTCACCGGCTACATATGGTGACCTTTAAAACTTAAAGTTAAAAGTCCGCCATCTCTGGAACACACACTTTTGTTTAATGCTTGACGTACCAATTATGCTAATTGCAGATAAGATGCTAAATTCTAACTATTTATATTGTTGTTTTATGTCTTTCATAAAAGCTTGTTTAACAGCAATTCAGAAAAAAATGTACTCACAAAAAAAACCCACACATCTTCAAGGATGGAAAAGGACAAGTCGAGTCCTCTTCTTTTTCTTATAGTAAATCTCCCAGTGAGTAACTGGAGCCGATTTATATTATAAGAACCAAGTAAAAACCTAATAAAAACCTTATATTGGTCGCAACCCTGATCATCTCCTTCATAAGAGGGGTATGAAACAACAGAGCGTCTTCTATCAGAGGCTTCCTCAGGTACGCTGCAATAAAGACTGCTACAGGAGGTCCTTCCTTTGCATGTACAGAAAATCTTTGGATAATATGAGTTATAATAATATTTAGTTTCCCTCTGGAATTACTAAAGTATTCTTTCAATCTGGTAATTTCTACTGATAAAAAAAAAAAAAAATCCTGTATTTTTTTTTGTAATTCTTTAAGTGTAAAGTTCTTGTTGCGTTAAGTTGTTATATTTGATCATCAAAGAGCCTGGAGTCCAGAGAAAACCCCACCTACTACGCTATTAGCAACCAGAAGTCATACTAATGACTTTTAAACTCTCATTTCTTTCGACTAACTCCTGCATCAAAATCAGAATCGCCGTTAAATTATATGACAAGCATCCTGCCTGCAGCAAAGACCTGCAATGTGACTTTTTGAGGTGGAATGTAGTAAAGGTTTTAGCGATTTAGGTTTGTTTTTCTACATGCAATAAATCAGATGTGATATTCACTACTATCTACTTTTAGCTCAAGGTTATCAGAACATCAGAATCTCAAACCACTCCTTGTAAAAACTTCTCTCCACCGAACTCTGAAGACATCTGAGGAGACAAAGTGTTTCTTTTCCTGCAGCTGACTTTGTGAGGTAATATCCACTTCAGACCGATGTTCTAATTAGCTTTCAAAAAGCAACATCCATCCCATTGCTGCTATAGTTATTCCTGGTTTGCCTGGTATTTCATGATATTTCCGTTAGCCTCTCTAGGCCACACCTGAGAGGTTCGCCGATTCATTCTCATTCATACGAGCACGCCGGCTCAGTCTCAGTGTCACGGGTGCGAACCCCATAAGAGAGCCACACAGACTAGGAAAAAGAACTGCGATTGGTCGCCTCGCCAAAGTGACATTTGCAGTTCAGCGGCAGAGGTTATCATGCCTGCAGATCCACTTGTGCTGCGGTGGGAGGAGGAAAAAAAAAAAGAGCTTATTTTTCCAGCCTTGATATGAAAAGGTAACATTTGCTGGAGTGGTCTGCAGGCGAGCGACGAAGAGAGAGAAAGGTTCAGATACGGAGCAGGACAGGAAAGATGTGTCTGACATTCTAATGTATGTTTGGCAATTCCAAAGCACAGGTGGAGTTAGAATGAATATACTACGATTCAAGCAGCAAATAAATAATATTTAAAAAAAGAGAGGCATTTTTATGTAGTGCGCCAAGGGCATATATAGTTCACACCTGGGAGTGAACTATATATGATCATCTCCTCAGGCTGAGGCTGCCTTCAGCATAATCAATCTGGTACAACATCATATTTCATAAGACTGCAATTAATATGAGCATTTAACAAAGGAAGGTTTTGTTTCAAATATGGCAGATTTCAGATGATGAATTGCTTTTATTTTATTCCTAGTTTAGAAAAGAGCAGGTCTATTTTTCAGAGTTAGTTTTTCTGCCTGTCAGTTTTATGACAGACATTTAATTTTCCCTGTTTTAGATGGAAAATTACTTTTGGAAAAACAGCAAATAACATTATGTTTACTGGTGCTTTGAGGTACTTTTAGGTTGTAAAATGCCCTGAAATAAGTTTTTCCTGCCTAAGAAGAAACAAATGTAACTCAGCCTCAAAATAAGACTTTCTTATCCCACTGACTCAACAGGTTTGTTATTTAACCCAATAACCGTCTCCATCAACACACTTACGTGAAAGCCAATCGGTCTATAAGGAAAGACAACATCAATAACCTTATAAAAAAAACAGTTGCTGCTCCACATCAACCTGGGAGGGGTTTTTAAGCCAATTGCAAACCATTTTAAGTTAATTGAGTTGTTAATTTTCCTAGGAATGAGCCTACCTGCAAATTCCCTCTAACCCCAGACTGTACAATGTCGAGAGAAATTGTAAAAAAAATGCAGTAGCTCCATGTCAGAATCGTCAAGCCTCAGCCAGCATGTCAAATATTAAAGTTTGTTAAATGGCAACGAGAAGAAAATTGGGAAGCTTGGGGAAATTAAGATCAAAATGGTATTTTCACCAGTATCTTACACAAGATGCACAAATTTGGGATTCACTGACAAGATCAGCAACTTCTTTGCATCAAAAAATATTCCAGAATCAAATGTTTAAAACAAACCAGTCACTGACACTAAAGAAGCAATTATCACCACGCATCAATCTGGAAAGGGTTATAAGGGCATTTATAAACCCAGAAAGATCACTGACAAGTGGAAAACATTTACCACAGAGGAGAATCTTCCCCAATAAAATCAAGCAAGGTCAGGCATGCAATGTTCAGAAAAATGATTCAAAACTCTACAGAGAAAAAAAAAAAATATATTTCTAGTGTGGAGGAGGACGCCTCATTTCTCAACAAAAATTGCAACATGGTTTAGGTTTGTAAAGTTGCAAACAACAAACCACAGGACTACAGGATCAATGTACTTTGGCCAGATGAGCGAGAATGTTGTAATTACTGCAAAACACCACAAACACATGCCACTGTCAAGCATGGTGGTGGAGGGGTAGTAATTTGGGCTTGTTTTCAGCCACACGACGAGCCCACCATGTAGTCTTTGAGTTGTCCACAAATTCTTCAGTAGAATTTTCTAGAAAGAAATTTTAAAGTCATTTGTCTGAGGCACTAAGTTAAGGGTAAGCAATGAGGAGAACATCCCTGGTGAAGCCATCGACAGAAAGCCGTGCTAAGTACCAAGAGCACAAAGTCAACATTAAAGGAATTGGGCATTCAAAGATCAGAAAATAGAAAATCGGATGCTTGGAAGGAAAGGAAGTTTAACCAGAAAAAGAAACTTAAAAGGAGAGCCATGAGAGCCTCACTCCAGTTTGTCACCACGCTTTTAAAAGCTTGTGTGCGACAGCAAAGAAACAGTTTGACTTCTCACTGAAGAGTAAACAGCTCCTGAAAACGGCAGACTTGTCAGAGACATACAGGCGGAGGAGAGCAGGTGGGAGAGGAACAGCAAAGAGCAAACAGTCAGGCAACAAAGACTCATAAAAAAAATACCCTGACATGCCCTTCTACCGTATCATCACGCTACATCGCACATAGAACAATGCATTAT